ATTAATTACATCACGGCCACTTTATTTCTAAGTAACTCCTTCGGTATTCCACTATGAAACTTAAATTTGTAAATGTTATGAAATAACATAATTTTTTGCGAAACCAATTTTCCAATTTTATCCTTCTGACGAGAAGCAAAAAATTAAAAAGCACGAGGCCCAAGGAGTATCTAAAGACGGTCATTAACATCATGTGAGTTCTAATCATATAAAATAATAATAATAATAATAATAATAATACAATATATATATTACATATTATGTAATATGTATAATGTATATTGTATACTGTACATATAGGTATTAGGTAGGTACCTATTGGCTATATTATCATTGATTATACTTTAATAAATAATAATTAAAAATTAGAATACACTATTCAAAGTTTCAAACAAATAACATAGCTTATACTTTATAGAAATAAATTACTTATATAATCTTGTGAAATAATTTTGTTTTTTTTAAACCATAGATAAGAAAAGGGAATTCAGACCGATTTGAGTAATTTATTATTCTAAATAGTTTATTATGTTGATCTTTGATAAACCTAGGTACCTGGGTACTACCAAAATTAATCTGTTTAAAAATATCGTACGTCTGGGAGAATATTGATTATCTAATTATAAATAATTATCAGGTTCAAATATATAATACTTAATCTGTAATATTATAATGTAGGTAGGTAGGTAGGTACTTATAAGTTACAGGCACGGTTATCTAGTGTAGATAACCGTGGTTACAGGTAAGCACTATTTTAATTTTTGTATATTTGTAAATAATTATACTTAATGTTCAATTTCATATGTTTGATATTATTTATTATTATTGTTTTTATATTTTACCATCGTACTCAGTATTTTGGTATAAAAGTCAACATTATCTATTACTATATACTTACAAAACTATGATAAATAGGTACACATATATTTACTTAAATACAATATCAATAAACTGATTTATAGTAGTTAAATATTATTGAAATTTATGTTGGGAATTCATGTTTTTTTATTTGTATATTTTATTTGTTTTGTATTATTTACAATTATATAAACACTAAGCTATAGGCTAAAGGCTTATATTGATCATACATTTTTTTACACGAATACCTGTAGCTATAGCAAAGTATTTTTAATTTTAATAAAATAGTAAACAAATGTTTACAAAACATATAAAATAATTTTCTTTGTACATCAATGTTTTACTTTTTATTAAAATCACATAGATAAATTTAATGCTAGTCATAAATCATAATATTATATATATATATATATTAATATATTATACAGTGTATTTTTCCTATTACACATCTCGACATCCACCGGTTTGTTAATTTACTGCTCTATACGCGATTTCTGTAATATATATACACCCAGAGAAGAATATTTATTATGAATGAAAAACGACTATAAATTTATTGGAAAATGGGTATTATTATAAAATCTTTTAAATTAATTAAATCGACTACTCGTTAATTAAATGATGTTTTTTTTTGATACAATGATATAGCTTTCTTAAAATTATGACAAACAATAGTACTAGAATCTATTATAGGTACTCATCTTAAACTCAATAATATTGTAGTCTCAATTATAAGGTATAACTTGTTTTAAAAAATGTATTTAATTAAGTCAGTACTTACCTACCTAGGAAATTTGCTGAAATTAGTGTATCTTTATAATCAAAAATAAATAAATAAATAAGAATAGTGAAACTTTTTCAAATAAAATATATGTTAATTTACTCGATGGAAATATATTACAGAATTCAATAAATGAACATAGGTATTATATTGTTCATTCACTGGTTTTTATCTAAATTCGTAGACCAGTGGCACCGTTAAAGTAATACAATAAGTTATAGGCACATAACAGAAATTTCTCTCAATTTGTTTTCTCTTATTCCGTCTAACAACTTCTATATATTTTATTGGTGTGCCGAGCTATTTTTTAGATCATGAGCGGAGCGATGCATATATTAATTTTACAATGATATGTGGTTTTATTTTTCTTTGTCATCAGTTATCACCTTTTGGAGTAGGTAAAATGATTCACTTTTCCAATTTGAGGGTGGTTTCTGGTAGTAAATTTGATCTCGTCGGTACTTCGGGGGTAAAGGTAAACAATTCCCAGTACTTTTCAATATTTTTTCTTTTTTGAATCTTATTCAACCTACTGTATATTACAGTCAAACTAGGCTGACAAAAACGTTTTTAACTAGAAATCTTCGATACCTCGAACTTTTTCCTGGTTCCTAGAAATTTCTATTATTTTATTATCCTTAAATATCTCGAATTCTTGGATAACTTGAACTTTTTGACCAGTCTCATCGCAACTTTGAGTTAACCAAGCCTGACTTTAATAATAAAATAAACATATAATTTATCATCGAATTTAAATTGAACATATACAATCAGGGCTTGAAACTGATATTTGATACCGATTTTGAATATCGGTTAAAACCGTTAAGAACCGAAATCGATACCGAAACCGAAAACAAAATCGAAAAAAACCAATTCAAAACCGAAATCGGAAAAAATCGAAACCGGTATTCAAAACCAAAAAAGAAATCAGAAAAAATAAATACCGATATCTGAAAGCGAAATCGAAATCGAAATCGGGAAAAATATTTACGGTTTCAAGCCCTGTATACAATGCATATCACAGTTATTTACTCAATAAAAAGGTGCACTCACAACCACATCACACCAAAGTGGTTACCTACTTGATACTTTCCCTCTATTTTTTTTATAAACTTTTACTACCTATGTTTATACTGCAGTATACACGTCTTCAATCATATCTATAAACGTGTGTGTGCTTTATATAAGTTTTATCATACCGGAACGGCTTAACATAATATTTACTGCTCGCACACATTGGCGAAATTTCAATAAAAAAACTGAGGGTGCTTAAGCTCTGCATTTTCTGGGCATTTATATTAAATTATAACTATGAGGCACTTTTAAGACTTTTTTGAACAAAAATGTTTTACGACAATTTAACATTGAAAAGCTATAGTAGTGTATTAGGTACATTTTATAAAAATTAATACAATAGTCAATTTTAATTTATTAAAAATTGAAAACAACTTTTTTATATTTATTCAAAAAAATATGACAAATAAAAAATATTAGTATACAAGGTGTAACAGACAGACCTAACGGAAAAAAAAAATAACGCTACTTAAACGTATGACAAAAATTGTTAAAATTATATGATTAGTAAATAATTTAAGAATTAATATACTCATATCAGCAAATTCCCCAAAAAAATATTTTGAAAAAAGTTACTCTAATAACTTACGTATACGTTCCAAATTCATCTAAGGGGATTCGATACCGTGATTTTCGGTTTTTGTCTAACACACGTGGGACATAATATTTTAGACGTGTTTTTTTGCCAAACATTCAAATTGATCTATTGAAGCGATAAGATTTCTGAAAACAGATTTGAATTTTTCGTCAAGTCTACTTGAAATCGACTTTCCCACATTTTTGATTTTTTGATTTTAACTTCTCCAAAAATTGAACTACCAGAATTTTTAAATACTCTTTTTGAATATGACATTTAAAAAAAAATTGGTTGATAATATCAAAAATGTGGGAAAGTCGATTTCAAGTAGACTTGACAAAAAATTCAAATCTGTTTTCAGAATTCTTATCACTTCATTAGATCAATTGGTATGCTTGCAAAAAACACGTCTAAAATAGTAAAGTATTCAGAAATCGCGCGTGTGTTAGACAAAAACAGAAAATCACGGTATCGAATCCCCTTAAAAAAAAAATATTGATATTTCAAAAATTCTAAAATATAAGCTACTCGACTTAGTTAAATGTTTTTACTAACAAAATTGTTCTTATAATCAGATTCACAAATTGGCTATTTTGAATATATTCAAACAAATTTAAATCAAATTAAAATTTTTTTTTTCAATGTTAAAAAATAAAAATAATTTTTTGCATAATAAATGTGTAACGCAAGTGACTATAAACTGTATATAAAAAAACATTATAAATATTGATTGGAACAGAAGTTATTCCAAAAGTTAGTTCTATTATCTGTTACACCCAGTATAGGATATTATATACTATAGGTATAATACCATACGGCATACACAATCACACAGACTGTCGGTAACTTGGAACTCATAAGTGAACACCAACTGACAAGTGATTTGTTTATCGTAATTAGGTTTTTTTCTGAATTAGATGTAGGCACGGGAATGTTTATATTAGTAAATACTCTCGATACTATTGTCGTAGTGCTGAGTCGCTGCTGAACGTGATAACTGATAATAATATAACCGAACACGACGACCGGGTTTAGTAGAAACATTTTAAAATAATGATTTATGTTCTAAACAGATTTGAATTAGATAAAATGACAATTGTCGAGTTCATTGTTTCATTCATTATACTCTGATACCCTCATGACCGATGATAAACTGTTTTTGGTTTTTTTTCTTGTAACTAGAAGTTTTGATACATAAACACATAAATTATTAGAGGGTGCTAATTTTTAAATTTGGGGTGCTAATACCCCCTAAGCCCCCCCCTATTTGTGCCTATCCTCGCACAAAGAAATTCTTACCAAAGTTATGGAATTTGATGTAACAACCAACCATCCATAGGTATATAAAGATACTCCATACGAGTATATTTATTTTATTTTAGATAATATTATAACATATATTAAAATAAATAAAAGCGAAAATTCTTGCCAATATAATATTGATTCTTAGTGTTAACAACTATATTTATGGTATATCGTGTAAATTTAAGTAGTTTTGATGTTGACCTGATGAGGTTTTCAATTAGTTATTGTGAACACTAAATTATTACACTCAGGGCTATTTATTATTATAACAATATTTTGAAACGAAAAACAAGAACAATCATCATACCGAATAGTTACACACACATAATATATATTATATAAATATGAAAAACATGTTTCCCCCGACAAGTAAATTATTCTTAAACAAGAATTCGACTAAATTAATTAAAAACAACAAAATAAATTGGACAGGAATGCTTTTGGTATGATATTAAAATAGAATAAAACTAATACCAAAATTGTTGCACCGAATGCTTTTAATATTCTGTCCATCCATATAAATCTGAAAATGTTTATTTAAATAAGATTTTATTATATCATAAGCCCTGTAATGAATATATTTTCAGTGATGAAATACAGACTATCAAATGATTATATTAATTCAAAGACGTCTTACCGGCTTAATAGCTTTTTCGCAAACGGTAGTTTTGACTCGTCGACATTAAACAGATACTTCTGAGAGCCGATCGTTGCATTTTTTATAAACTCGGTGATGTCTATATCTTTGAAATCATAGTCAAACTCTTTGCGGTCTGCATCTGGTATCTTATCGATTAATCCCAAAAAGTTTGAGTTTTCAAATTTCCAAGACTTTGTGGTAAAGTAAGACAATGCCATTGATACCACATAGATTTTTTGTTGCAAAGGCAACAAGCGTCTAAAACAGAAAAAGGTAAGTATATCGGTTTATAAAGTAAAAATTATCTTAAAATATTAATTAACAATATAATATGCTCAGTAGCGTAATTAAGGTGGGGAATACATCCCTCTAAAACTTTTTTTCTTAACTGATGACATTTTGATTAAGTTATAGTAAGTGGCAATTCATGCTTAAAATAATATTTTCAAAACCTAAAAGAAAATTATGATTTTTATTACTAAATAAATACAATTTTTTTTTAATGTATTTACTTATAATATTAATTAGATGGAATATGTTCAGGGCTGATTCCATTAGATATTATATTAATTATGTGTCTATATGTTGCCTGTTTATGGGAACATTAAAATTAATCATGGAGTTGCAATATATGGTTCTCCAAATTCTAAAAAGCAAAATAAATTGTATAGTTTATAAAACTATTATAATATTATATAGGTATAATTAAAAGCTCCTAAAATACCAATTTCATATTGTTTGATATTAATTTATAATAGTTATAAGTTATAATATAATATAATAGATAAATTGTATAGGTATATTAAAATGAATATAACTGTATGGTAAGCTCAAAGCTGTACTTCATAATAGAATATAATTTTAGGATGACCACTAACTATTTGTTTTCTCTCTGTCTGGCCCACTCACAAATTAGACAAAACGTATTCACTCAAAATCGTATTTTTAATGTATTTGAGTAATTTTAGAGTAACATTTCCAAACATTTTAGAAAATAATATTTTTGAAGGTTTGACAAAAATATCATATTGTCACAAAATAATGTAATATTCAATTAAATTTACTATATTATTATTTTTTAATTTTAATGTCAAATAATAACAAAATAAAAAACCAATATGTCAAACCTTCACAATTATTATTCCTTATAATTTTTAATATAGGTAATTTTACTCTTAGAGTAATCGGATATCGTAAAAAGCGATTTTACGTGAATGCATTTTTTCTGTCACTCTTGGGTGTGGACGTGGGTGGATCTGAGAGAAAAACAAATATTTAACTGAAATTCTTTTAAAAAATTCCGTTTCATTAAGAATTTATTGGAGGATGGTATGACTGTATGGAGTTACATATTTTTGCTAAAAATGAATGACGCACATCTTACCCAAGCAAATTCCTAATTATGCCACTATATTATAATATACTACAGCTGGCATGTAAAACAAGAGGCCTCCGGCAAATTTTTTTATGGCTCGTGGATAACATAATTATTGGAAATTTAATAAAGGAAATAAATTGATAAACACAAATTATACCAATTTTTATTGCGTGTAACAACAATAATGTTAGTGAGAGTTATACATTATGTTAGTTATCTGTCTTATCTTCTGCTAAACTGTAATTGAATAAGTATTGTACCTATCTATAGTTTAATTATTGTAATTTGTAAATAGATAATAAATAAAATTAAAAATGTTTCAATAAACTATTATGTGCGGCCCAAGTAATAAACTATTTAATAATATATTTGGCCCAGTCAATTCTTTGAGTTTGACATGAGGTAGTTTATTACCTAAAAAATTAATAGTGATACAATATTTAGTGTAAACATAAAATTATTAAAATGTATATTTTAAATTTAAACTAAATGTTTGTCGAACAATATCTTATAATTTTTTTAATTTCATACTTATAGTTTAACAAGATGAGTATATTTTTATGTATTGGAATTTGTCGATAATGTTTGACTATTAATTATTATTATTTCTATTGGTATTGCAGTGGTATAATAGGCGTCGTAACTACTTAATTTCGATAAATTATGCCAATGCCAACAATGTACATGTACAACTCAACTTTTATAGGAATGTCAAATGGTACTACTCATTGAATGTATAGCTTATATAGGCTATAGCTATGCGTTATAATTAGGGTTAGAATGTTTATGAGTTTTTCATAATATTATTTCTTTTAGTCGTTCACAAAACAGACCAAGATGTTAAAAAAAATGTATAGGTATAGGATCAGATACATTCAAATTTATTCTAACATATTTAAAGCTTAACAGGAATTAATGCATAAAAGAAAAAAAACAATAAATAATCGCAAATTTCAAAGAAAAAAATTAAAAAAATCAATTTTCATTAAAAAAAAAAACTAATAAATTGATACATTTTAATGTGCAGTGTTGTACTGTTGTGTCACCCATTATTTGTATAGACGTCGAAGGAAGTTTGCTTATCTTAAACAAATTCGTTATCTGACCACCGACTTAAGATCTTGTTCGAAAACCTCATGAAAATTCTCATCATTCAAATCAATGTACAAAGAATACCTATGCAATTAGTAATAAGTAATAACTAACCAAAAATAAAATTCACATTATTTTAATCTATACAAATTTATATTTTTAAAATTAATTCAAAAGTGAAACAACAAAAGCAAGGTGTCAGTATAATATAATATTTTTCAATACATTTTGTAATGTCATATTACATTATCTTAAGGCCATACTTAGATATTTTTTCTGCATATTTACGTGCATTCGTTTTTAAAATCATAAATATCTTAAGCTTATTTTATAATACATATATTTTGTGCAATTTAAAAATATATAAATGAACAACTAGAAGCTTACATTATTTTATTTTTAAAATAGGCAACTGAAAATAGAATCATATTGCACATTTTAATTTGTGTATAATTTTTTAATGCAACGTACAATTTTTAAAAACTTCATGAAACTGAAGACTTCTATGTAACTAAATTTTAAATGCTCACGTAGTTATGTGTATATATTTATATATATAAAGGTATGTACAAATGCATGGGCCATGACTTAAGGTCGTGTGTGATCTATGAATGTACCTATGTGACAATAGATTGGACCAAGGTCATAGTAAATGTATATTGTTATTATAGCTTATAAACCTCATAATATGAATGATGTATGATATGGAGCTAAAACGATTAATATAATAAATTATTGTTATATCTGCTTATATAATATAATATCATTGTATACGAAAAAAGATTCTGAACGAAGACGGTCAGTCAGCCTATGATATATTACTAAGTATATTTGATGATATTATTGTGAATAAAGTAATTTATTTATCTATTTATGCAGAACCTTGTTTTGGATTTTCAATCTTTAGCTATAAAAGTTGAACATTTTATAAATTTACAAAATCATTTTTACATTTTAAATTTGATACATTTTGTCAAAATTCATACTTGAAATGATTATAAAAAAAATGCATGCCTATGAATTTTTAATATTTTTCAACTGCTTTAGTAACAATAAAATATTAGAAGCCTGGTATTAATTTTTCACGCTTTTTTATACAACAAATACAATTTTATTGTCATTTATAGAAATAAAAACAAAAAAAATTTAAAATGTCCCTAACCAGCTAAAATAGCTAAAATGTTTTTAAAATGTTATCAAGTATAGGAATTGGTAAAATAAACATATGGTGTAAATTTAAAGTATCTACAGTTATTCGTTTTTGAATAACAGCAAAATAAGAAAATCGCTTCATGAGAAATCGAGTGAAAATCTTGTAAAAATCTTGTAAAAATGTTTAGTGTCCTATAAGCGTCCCTTATAATAGTATAAGGTGATGACAGACACAAATAAAAAAATACACATCATTGTAAATCTAATACATTCATCACTAATCTAAAATTGATTCAAGGCAATTATTATTTAATTATGAAATCAGGGGTTTCAGATGAATTTAGGACAGTTATTTAAATCAGGATCAAGTCCTCTGGAGTCTTCAAGAAAAAGGTTTCATCATCGAAAACTATTTGTTGATTATTACACTTTATACATTATAATATTATAGAATAGTCTGTATTATTTAATGTGTCTTTTAATATGAATAGTGTGACGAGGATTTTCTTGAGATAAAAGCACTTTTAAAATTCCTTTTATTTTTACTCGTGAAAACATGACGTAGGTACCACATTCCATGCATAAAAATCTGCTGTTTGTAAGTCTACACCAACGCATACTCATTATTTTGAACCTCGTAGAAAATGCTGGTCTTACATAAATCTAAAAAAAAAAACAAATTCTGGGATTTTCTTGGAATTTGTGGTACGATCAATAGCACGCCCGTTTCGTGTTATTCATAGTTTAGGGTTTGAATTCGAAATTACATTTTTAATTAAATATATTGATTTTATGATTTTGATACTGTTGCACAAATATCTATTTAATATTTTTTCTGACTAATTAGATGTTAAACATTTTTTACGTTTTTTTTTTTTATTAAAACAACGGTTTTACATTTTTACGATTTAAATTGTGATTTCTACCTAAGATCTATATGTGCAGAGGATCACTGTTTGCGCATTTAATTTACACGTCGTTAAGCAAAGCTGTGAAATGGTCTTATAAAAACGAAATTATCTACCGGAAAACAATATTATTGAGCTGTTGCACGTTGGTAAATGTTGAATTTTAAAATTAAAGTCGATTTTTTCCTAATTTCTAGGAAAATTTTAGTTTTTCTTCTCTAATAAATACTTTACTTAATATTATATAAAGCGTAAGAGTGTGTTTAAGACTATGATCGTGATCAACTGATATTTTTATATGTAGTTAACTTTTATTGCAATCGACCAATATTTTTCAAAAGATCGACTAGATCCCTGATATAGGATAGGTAAGTAAACATAATGTAACTTCGATATATTTTCTACATAATAAAACGACTAAATTCACACCAAGGGTTCTTACGATAAATGTGTTTACCACGAATGACCCGGCGAATAATTTTCCATCGGGTGTGTAAATTAGTAATCAATCATTTTTCCGAAAGTTATGCTAATTGAAACAAACCCTGTAAATTCTGAAACGTAAAAGATAATTTTCGTTTCTAGTTGAGAGTATTACATAGTTAGTTCTCAAGACTTGTAGTATAAAAGCCGATACACAAAATGTGTATAAATTATCAACGATTATAACATCATGACTATAATAATAATATTATAGGTTTATAGGTTTTTCAGAGGCTAGCTAATTCACCTACCTTATACAGCACCAATAACTCAATAACGGCATTCACTGTAATACTTATAAGTTGTAACTATACTTGTTTTAGTTTTCATTAAAATATAGGTGGGTAGTTACTATTGTTAATGTTAAATTATCACCTATCCAGGTGGTCATCTGGCCATTAGCCACCCATCACCCCCTCTTAAACTCAGAGGCGTCCGCCTCACGATTACCCCCTTTACTGGGTGCTCATAAATTCTGATTTTTAGCCGTCAGCAGTCAAAGGTATGAATGATAATATGATGTTTTAATTTCACGGTTAGTGAACAAAATATGTCAGCTGAAAGGCCACCTATATAATATTATAATGTCATGGGGTTGAAAGCAAACCGAATTTCTGCGTTTACATTAAATGTTTCAATACACCTAACATATAAACAGGTAATAGGTAAGTTGATACACGTTTTCATACTTGTGCGGTTTCCCAATCAGGTCCAAGAGTGCATCGAAAAATATCGCCGGTAAGACTTGCTCGATAATCGTAGAGATGTAATAGTAGTAAAAGCATGTCGTAAACTTAATCGATGGACGCCACAACATTTCATCGAACGGGTATTGTTCGAGAGTTTTCATGCCCAAATCTAATAGTTCTTCGTTTGATACAGATTTCGATACAGATGCGCTGTTGTAAACGGGGATAGTATCATCCATCTCCAACCAACTGAAAAACATTAAATAATTCATGTTAATAATACCTAAATATTATTATGACCAATCGCACCTGTATAAGTTATTTTTTTTTAAATTTAATTATATGGGTGGTCGGGTAGATATATTAGGTTATATAATTTTAATTTTAATTTTTTTTTATTGAGCTTAAGCCCGGCAACTATGACCATAAGCTGTTTTTTTTGTTTGTAAGGAGGGAACGGTTAGAACGATTGGTTGAAACCAGATACTGAAACCTTTTGAATTTATCAGTATCGGTACCTGTACTGGTTCTCCAAAAATAAATTAACTGTTCCAGTTCTGTTCTGATCTTTTGATAAATAAAAAATAAAGGTATCGGTTCCAAATAGTTTTGGTACCGGTTCCAGATAATTTAGATACCGAAAAGTATAATAATTTTAAAAATGTACCTATATCCGGAATGCGGGTTTAATATTAGTAGTATGAGAAATATTAGGAAACTCATGATCATACATAGTTTATACACAAAACAGTAATACTATTAAATTATGATAAATAAAATTATTTTATTTTTGAACCTAAAAGAACCTATTTAATATAAAAATTCCTGTTTGGTTCCGGTACTTTATTTATTAAAATAAAGGTTTCGGTTCCGGTTCTTAATATTTTAAAGGTTCTGGTTCCAGAACCTGTTCTTTTATGTTTGGTTCCAGTCCCTGGTTGAAATACGTTTGAATGTGTGGTAAGGATTTGTAGCTAAAAATCCCGTGTGGTCACCCATCCGGGAGGTAGCAAAAAGGTAATATAGAGTAAATAATAATAATAGTAATAATAATAACAATAATGTAATAAGTTATATTCTTATATCACCATAATAGTAATGCGACATCTTTGAAATAGATATCGATGAATACAATTATTGGTCACTTTGATACTATACCCGTTTGAATTAAAATTAATTATTATATATAATACTATATTTAATATGCGGGTGCAAATTACCATACCCGTTTGAAAATTATATAAATGCTTTTTAATTCCTATAAACTATAATGGGTGACTTCAATTTACAAGGGCCAGAATTAAATTCCAATGTCGCGAAAGTTTAAAACGATTTAATAATCATAATTAATAACCATATATACTGAGATATTAAGACGTGAAGAGGCTGATTTTGTATCCTGAGAATTATTAGCCCGAGTTAACTCTCAAGTTCTACCCTATTTTCGTCTATTCTAAACAACTATTGCTGTTGCAGCGTTACTGGTAAAGGGGCATCTGATTTAAATATTTAACAAACCGAACCACGGAATTCCCTGCGCACCACTTTGGACCGGAAAATTATTCTAAAGTACCTACAGACCATAAACCCACCCACTGAAGGCGATTTGTAATCATTTACAGTTGTATTCTACAATAATCGACATAAACAAATATAATTATTCTGTCGAATAATTACCTATGTATATGTACTTACTTTGATTTAGATCTGTGCCAAGCCGCTACGATCATTGATTTTATGGAAATATCGACGGCCATGTAATCCGGAACAATCGATTTCTCGGTGTACGTCACTCGTACGACCCCTTTCCCACATGCCATCATGAGTCCGATCGGTCCGTTAAAGTTATCTATCCATCCTTTGATGGGGTCATTGACCGAAGATATAACTGTAATGAATAACACTATGTATGCTGTATGCTGATGAAAGTGATAGTTGTATACAAAATTGTATAATTTTTATTTTTATTACATTTTTTTTTATGATTAATTGTTCATTAATATTGGAAAAAAAAATTTTTGTATCATTCACGGAGACTTGACATTTTTAACTATATCGTTATATTTTATAAACCTACATGATGACATTTTCATAACAATTAGATTCATTTTAAGCTTACACTTACCTCTTCAAAACCGTTTTACTTTAAGTCGGTATTGATTCAAAAATGAATGACAATAACATTATAGGTAAGTACAAGGGGTAAATTATATGGCACTTCTAGAAAAAAAAACTTCCAAGACTAAAAATGTATGGTTTTGAGAAAATGTGTTTTGAAGTTTAAATCAAATATGCTTTAAAGAGCTCTCTAACCGTCTCTCAAACGTGTTTTACAAAATAACTTCTTCAAATATTACGAAATTATTTACTCTCTTAAACCCAAAAATTTAGACTTATGGTATTTTACAATTTTTTAAATGAATGCAAAACTGCTATATTTTGAGACGTGATGGCAAGACATTTCTATTTGAAAATACAAGACTAACGTGTTCATATTACGGCTGCAAAATCATAAATAATGAAATGTAATTCTGTCCCAAGTCACAACACTGTCATTACTGTTATCCATTCAACATATCACAAGAAAATTAGTTTTTATTTACCTCGAGAACACTATACGTCAAATCAAAACAAGGCAGTCATGAATTTTAACTTGAGTGATTAATTAAAGAATGTGTACTGGCATGAAGTAAACATGGCTCTATTTTTTTCAAAAATTATCTAAAAAATGATTAATTTAATATTGCTGATACATCTTGGTGGTAAAATAAAAAACTATATTGAGTATGTTGAGTTATTATTGCATTGTTATATAGAGCTAATGTTATATACTATTAGAAAGTTATAGTTATTTTCACTCAAAATCATTACGTTTATAGTTGTAGCAGCCTAGCTGGTTCTAGATATGCTATAGGTTACTATATACAATTATAATCATTGATAATTGATTTAATAAATGCTACAACCTATTTAATAGTAAAATAAACTATTATGTTAATATCAATTTTATAATTATAGGTACAATAAAATATACATAGGAACATAGGCTGATATCTTCTCATGAACTGTACCTAATTGTAAAAGTATTGTTAGTGTTGTAAGAAATTAATAAAATTAAAAACTTGTATAAAATGTTTTTAGATACATATTTTTTATGTGCAGCCTGTAAAAATATTTAATTTATTCGGCCAAGTTAATATTTCGAGTTTGACACATGTTTGCTGTATAGTATACTAGTATTTTACGAGTCTACATGGAGAAATTCAAGTAGGTAGTTATGAACTTGTGTAAAAAAAAAATGTTTAGAAAAAAATTAGTTCCTAATACAAGACATATAGTAGTTGAACTTAGAGTTGTATTATGCATATTATTACAACTATAGATACCTACACATTATTAATTTACTATTCTGTTTGATTTGATTATTTTTTTGCCGGATACAGTTACAAAATATATACCAAGTCACTTGCTTTAAAACTAAACCAATACGCTATCAAGCAGATACTTATCTATTTCAAACATAACATACGTGTCAAATTACACGACAATGCAAATGCAAATTATTACTAAATCCGACCCCTTTGGGCGCCTATGTAGACAATCAGGCAGAGGTTATATTTTATACGGTTGTAACTCGGTTGACTTATGTGAAACAAAATTCACTTTACAGAAAGATTGAAAAATATTTTCTAAAATTCAGTTCTGGTCGGCTTTTGTAAATTTACATAAATTGTTTGTCGTGTACGCTGTCTATGTTTGGTTAGGATATTATTCAAATTCGTATCTCGTACGACGTGATGTCTTTCTGTTTTCATTATTATTACAACATTCAGTGGTGTAAAGGTATAGTACCTATAGTACCCCTACCTACCTATGTTACAAACACGAAAATGTTCCACATTTGGCCGTTGGTGTTTCGTAGCCCGAGGGGATTGCAACCGGAAATTAACACAAGCTGTTGCGTTCAGAAAAGAAATAGGTAGGTATAAAAAAAATGTAGTGTTTATTGCGTTCCGGGATTTTTTTTTTGTATATCCGAAACGCGTCCCAAAATGTGTAAAATACAAAAGCCGCTGGTGAACTCTCTTGATTTTTAAGACTATGATAAACTCTCCAGAATCCAGATGGTAAACTTTCTCTCTTGTCAACATTAAATATATAATTCATTAACTTGACTTTTTTTTAAATTTGCATGTTCGTATTATTACACACATTTAATTTAAACGTGTATTCAATTTCACTAATGATTTTATATTTCATTAATATCTCGACTATATTATAGATCACAAAGAAATTGATATTTTGTATTATTATTTACATTAAGTTATACACTTGACTTTTTATAAATTTGTTAGTTCATATATAATGATACAATTATAGTTGCACAAACGAAGTCACTACAGACTTGGGAGAGTTTACCATCGAGAGGGCTTAACATTTTGGCTATACATTTTTGTTTTTGTATAATATATGAATCGCATCTGATTAAAAACGATTAAAGTTTCAGCTTTAACGAGTAAAAAAAAGAAAATTAACTTTAAACTTCAAACTGTACTTTTTTTAAATATAATATTGTTAACTTAACTGATTAAAAAAAATAGGTAACTTGATAAGCCTTGTCACAATTACTTATATTCAAATAATATATAAAACGTTCTTCAAATACATAATATAACATTTCGGCAAATAAAATACCTACTCAGCTTTCGCTTGTTATTTTCTCGAGTATTCAAAATAAGCTCACGTATCTTATTATTTATATATAAATATAACTTTATACTTATACTTTATATTAATTTTATAAACATAGTATACGGAGTATAATATATATTCTGAGAAAATGTCAAATTATTTAGGGATCCAATATGCTTTTAAAATGATAATTCCTTTCAAATAAAATTTTACAAATATTTGAGTTTTATCCGTCTTTATATTATATACGTGACTCGAATATTTGTATTAGTTTATTTTGGAATGATACAAAAACGATTATGGAGTATAAATAAAATATGAAGATAATGTATACTCAGAACTACCTACAGAACTTATAAATGAAAATCGGAAAATTGGTAGGTATTCCGTGTAAATAATAATATATAGAGAATAATATGCTATTGTGGTTTTAAATTATTTTTGTAGATACCTACCTATATATTATATTATATATACAAAGAAATCGATAAATGTTTCGGGGTTTGATCGACAGAGCTTATACAGGAAGTTTCAAAAATTGAAAAAATGAAGAATACAGGGGTAAACTAATATATTCTTAAAATAACCAATTTTTGATTGGTTTGCTTACAAAATATGTCGTCATCTGATGGACAATTTATACAGTTCAGCTTTATTGTTAATCGAGGGTAGATGACCTATACGCCCCTGGGGATCGTTTAGAACATTTGTAAGCAAACCAATAAACAATTTATTGTTTCAATAATACTTATATTTTATTTCAACCCACCCATGTTTGAAGTACCTCCACTGGGAGGCTTCACACGGTTTTCCATGTCATTGTTTTATTTATTATCATCAAATAAGCTTATTGTTCCAAATTGTAACAGATAGCCTAAGAATACATTTAGAGGGAAAAAGAACCAACGCCCGTATCTTTTAAAAATATATATATATAGATTCGGATGAAATCTTATGAAGGCTTTTGAAACATCCTCTCGATACCAGGTAATTCATGTTTTTAAAATAAGTTTTTTTTCAGTTTTACAATATATATATGGTTCACACACGAACCTCGGTCTCAAACAAATCGATTACAATATAATAATAATATGAATTTTAAGAACACTCACCGATAGATGGTCTGAATATCACCACCGGTAGGTTATTCCGTTCTTCGTTAATTATTTGTTCAGCTAGTAATTTCGTCAGCGTGTATGTATTTGGAAACGATCCTAAAAACCTTCATCGAAACAACACAAACGTGATTAATGTGATAACAAATTATTGACATTTTGGTACTTTATAATGTATGTTATGTGTGGGCCACACAATATATACACAACGTAATATAATGTCGTTGTTAATTTAAATTAACGTAGTTACACTAATGTACAATATATGGAGACTTCTCGTCTGGTATAATATGATAATATACCTAATAATAATACATAATATGTCTATCGATTACTTCAGTCAGTAATTCACAGCCGTTTCCCCATATCTATGCTACTCGAGATGTTGTACGACTACGGGGTATTTGAATTTATAGTGATGATCGAATTGCACTCTTTACCTAAATTAAAGTATGCTGGTCGAATTTCACTAGAATTAAAAAAAAGGTAACAGTCGAATACTGCATTTAAAATTTAAATAATGTATAATAAAAACTAAAAAATATATATATGAAAATAATTATTACCATGCCTTTAAATTTTAAGTGAGTAAGGAAATTAGTGTTTTTAAAAGTTGAAATTATGTTTATTTTTCAGAAATGTTTGTTGAAACTTCTTTTTATATTAATCTTAGTGAAGTTAAACCATTACTTTTTTTTAACCCAAGTGCAATCAGACTAAAAAAAATTAATTTGATTTTACCATAATTGATATATTAATAGGAAAGAAACGATTTGGGGGATTTTGTAAGCTCAGCCTGAGAAAAAATTATGCACCGATCATCTGATATCTAACTATTAATTAATACTACCTTATAATATTTTTGAGAACTATTTAGAATTTTCCAGAGGACATTACGAGAAGGTGATTTGTGTGTGGCATCCATATATATATATATATACTTTGACGGTCTAATAAAGTCACAGCAGTGGTGCAATTTGGGAGACGGCAGGGTGTACTTTGGCACCCCTATTTATTTTTTGCATCTTGTTGACGGGTTACATAATTTAGAAACTGATGCATAAAACTTTAAATATATTATGAAAACCACAATGCGTATAATGTATGGAAGAAATGTATATGTTTATTATTTATATCAGAGGTTCTCAAACTGTGGTAAAAATAATAAGTCGCTATGCAGAAATCTACACGGAGGTACGTGGAAGGCCATGTGGTGTTAGTACATACGCAAAATATTAATAAATTAATATTTTTACTAATGTTTGTAACAGATATAATATTATTTTATGCTTTGTGTAAATAGATACTATACCTAATTACAAGGCGTAATAGAAAGATCTGATAAACGAAATAACTTTATAATATTTTGTTCTAATTGATACTTATAAATTTTTTTTTTATAGGTATATAACTTATATAACTTATGGACTCTTGCTTTTTTTTTACTGAAAACAACAATATTTTGATATAATTTTTGGACAAATGTTGATGGTAAAAACGTTTATATAAGTGAAGTAGATTGTTTTTATCATTTTTTAAAATATCAGTATTTTTCAGATTAAATTAACTTGAAGCGTAATAACTAATAAGTAATAACTTTTTTCAAAATATTCGTTTTGGGAATTTTCTGACATAATAATATTTCTTAAATTATTTATTAGCTATAACATTTTCATAATTTAACTTTAGTATCAATTTTCATTTTTAATTGTCTGGTATAACAGTAATTGTATAGGTACTGTTAATTAATGTACCAAAATTATTATTATTGTAGGTACATCAATATTTTTAAATATATGAATATAGTTTTATATTCAGTCATATGAGTAGTGTGTGAAAAAATAAGTTTTAAAATTTCTGATTTATATTATATTATAGAAGCTATACCAGCTTGTTTGACATTCCTGATATAGATGATGAATATTATCGGTCGACACGATAAAAGCTATTTTATAAACTTCTAACTTTTTGGTTTTTTAGTTCTTTAGAATATTAAATAATATTATATTATATGACCCTTTGGCCCTATACATACATGCATACATAAAATACATGTATATCTATTATGATGAGAGAAATTGGCTTGCTTACATTTTGGCGCCACTGCGTAAGTCAAAAGCATGATGGATTGGTTTTTGAAAATCACCGATAATGACGGTCGGCTTATAGCCCTGGCTATTCATTTGTCACTGCCCTTTTATTTAGTTTAAGTAGGTGATAATAATAATAATAATAATAGTAATAATAATAATAATAATATAGCTACCTTCTTAATTCTTATCCAATTACGTTTAGACTTACGGCGCCAATGTCATTTTGTCCACAAAAATACACTATACTTTAGGTAGGTCTGACTTTTTATAACATATATGAAGGCTTATGAGGCTCATTTTTATAATTGTAATTAGTTGATTAAATATTTAAGTTTGAAATTTTAAAAAAAGGTCTGCTGCCGCCTATGAAGTTTTAACTTTAAAAATATAAATTACAATACGATTGCTTATAATATTTTTTTTTTTTATTGGTCTTAAGCCCGGCTAGGAAACTGTGGCCACTGGCTATTTGTGGGTTGGAAGGTACGGTTGGAACACGTGTGTGTATGTGGGGAAACGATTTGTCACTAAAAACTCGGATGGTCACCCATCCAGCAACTAGTGACATCGGTCAGTGCTTGCAGTCAGAATACTTTTCGTGACTGAATAATGCAACCACCGCGCCACTCCAAGCCACTTATAGTATTTTTGTAATAGTATTTATACAGTTTGAATGTAAAAACAATGTTATCGATTACGCCAATTAATAGTTTGTTTTGATAAAAAATAGGTTTATGAGATCAGTAAGTTGAAAGAATAAAAAGGTTCTAAAAAATACTTTTTTTTCAATTTTATTATTTTTTATTGAGTTTGTGGATACAGCATAATAATTCATAAAGTAGCAGACAGTTATTATATTTATTTATGCATCAATATGTTAGTTATGAGATAACCTAAAATTATTTTCTATCAAAGTTAAAAATAATTTCTCTCCTCAACAATATTTCAATGCTCTCGAATCTGCGCAATATTATAGTTTTCAAATTTTATTGAATTGCGAAAAATTTCAAAAACTTTCATGGGCCCACTAAAGAACTTACGTGCGGTGCATCGATTAAAATATATTGACATTAAAATGCTTATAAAACGGTACGTTGTTACTGAGCTTCTCAGAATTATAGAATACTCACTACCTATACTAATTTATTCACGTGATTTGGTTTAAATATGAGTTGTTTTAATGAAGTTTGTTGCGTAAGTTTTTTAACGAGTTTATAATGTTTTGTTTGTACTTTTTGTGTTATTACGATAATAATATAATATTAAAACGCGCAATGTATTTTTTGTAGCTATAGGTATATACACTTATATACGGTTAATAGAATTATAAATTTATTAAAAATAAAAATATTAATTTTAGATTTTAATTATCCACATATTATAATAATATGTAGGTATATAGATGCTGTGTTTACTTCGTTTTCATATTTGTAATCTAGTAAATTGCATTTTACGAGATCCGTCATAACAATAATATTGTTATTAATCCAATCAAATTGAAAGGGAAATTATTATGATTGTGTATTTTTAAGTACTTTTTTTAATTTTTTTTTTTACCATTAGTTTGGTTCTGCAGAAAGGTTTGCACAAATTCAAAACACTTTAAAATGTTTATATAGTACCTACTACAATATTGTATATTTGCTTGAACATTGTAAATCTGCAGTTATATAATATCTATTGTTGTCTCGTGGTTTACTCGGTTGTATAGGTACCTACGCATGTGGTTTTTAATATGTATTATTACTTTGTGCCATTTTAGTATTATATTAATATGATGTGTTAAGAAGGGGATTCCACAATTCCTTTTTTTTTCAGCGAAAAACACCTATACCCGTTTCAACTTGAGTCTTACTAGTAATTTTTAAAACATATTTAAATTTATTATGAAATTTTAAAACTGTATTTTTTTCCATTAAAAATTTCCCCGAAGTGCCTTCACTGGTTGGTTTTCCATTCAAGTCACTCAAGCTGCTACATTAATATTATTTTAAAAAAACATCCATTATGGTTATTATACTTTTTTTATTATGGTTTTTATTATAGGTTGTATAAAATCGATATTAAAAATAAAAATAAATATTTCTAAAACATCGAGATTCATTTCTCAATTTCAAGTGGACTGTTTCTTTTTAAGAAAAATAGCATGGATACTTTAAACTTACTTATATCCACATGTGGTTTTCAATATATATTATTAATTTTACTTTGGGACATTTTAATATAGGTGTATTAATATGATTTATGAAGATCTAAGAAAGGGTCCGGTAGTAATTTTGAAAACACATTTAAAAATATTAAATCATTTAAAAATCGATTTTTTTTTTCAATTTAAATTTCTAAATATTCGAAATTTATTTCTAAATTTAAAGTGAGATTTATCCTTTTTAAGAATAGCACGAAAGACAATATTTATTCGTCACACACGTATTTCGTGTTTGTAAGATTTTGAGAATTCATTACATTTAATTACGAAACTAGTTAGTATAATTACAATTAATATAATATTTTCAAATATTTTTGAAGATTTATAGGTACCTAGTTACTACTTGACATTTTGTTTAAAATAACATCTCAATACCTATAGTAGGCAGTAAGTAGCAGTGTAGCACTGTAGCAGCCTAGGGGATTTTAACTCTTTGTAGTTAAATACATTATACTATAGGAACTTAAAATTAAAATATTAATGCGCTGTTGACAAATTGATTTTATTACCTATATAATAAATATTAAGTACCTAAACTTAAATATTGTGCTTTTGAGGGGATTCTATACAAACGTTTTTTTTTTAGCAAAGTACACAGAGCTATGTATCTGGTATTACGGTATAAGGTATAATATTTTAAGTTTGCACATCGGCTCTTACTTTTTTGTTAAAATACTGCTCAATGTCGGATCTAAATTTTCCGCGATCGAGATTGCTTCTCGCCAACCGATTGGTGATTCATAGACTTTTTCTTCAACATTTTCTCTGATACAATTACAATACGCAGTCGACACGTGCAGCAATACCTGTAAAATATGTTTTTATTGTATCATACCAACGACGTGACAAGACCAATATTTTTTGGGGGTGCAAAAATTTTAAAGAGATCGTGGACTCGTGTGAACTTTGCCCCCATTGACACCCCTTTTCACATTCCTTACATGAAAACAGAACATTATTTTAACACAACTTTTCCTGATTTTAAATTATTTTGTTTGTTTAAAATTCAATAGATTTTTTAATTATTTGTAATAATAATAATATATACCTCTCTATATATTCTAATTAGTATCGATAAATTGGCGAATCGTTGCTGTACCATACCTGTTCGTATATGACTGGCTACAGCCAATATACAGGGGGTAACCAAGATGATATACCTGACAAATTTAATGAAATAACTTTTTTTATTTTTTTTTTTATTTAAAGAATAAGAAGGCTTCAACACCGAAGGTTATTAGTCTGACAATGTTTCACACATATGTTTTTTAAAATTAGGTATTACATTTAAGGGGTAATTATTTGTTATTTACAGAATTTACAATTTTTTAATAATATTGGTACCTAATATTTAAAAATTCTATGATTTTTTACGTGTTGTGTTCTTCAAGCGCTTCTGCAACGTTAGGTGGCATGTTCAGGTGGGTGCGTGTTGAGGTGTACAGTGTGCATTTCTCCCCTATATGTTTAATAATGAGTATTTGGTTGCATGTGTCACATCTTGGTTGGGGCTCTTTGCTTATTAAATATGAGTGTGTGAGGAAGGAATGTCCGATTCTGATGCGGGTGATTGCGATGTCTTGACGTCTGTTCAAATGGGGGGAGGTGTACCACTTTTATAAGATTTATTCTAATCACTTTATTACAATTTTTATTTATAAGTTATTTACAGACGCTTTCGTTATACGTATAGTATAACGTTTTTTTATTTTTATTTTTTAATACTCAAAATAAAAAAAATAAATCTGATAAAAACTTTTATTGTAAAATTCAAAACTGTCAATTTGTAAGAAAAAAATCATCATGATGACATCGATGGTCGTGAGTCAACTTTTTTTTAAAGGTATAAAATACAAGTCACTGAATCTAAAATCAATCACACCGTTCTTACAATTTTAGTCTTAAGTTACTTTTGAGAAAAATATATTTTTTAGATCGTTTCGGTAGTTTGTTCGTCACGTGCTTGTTGTACAGCTAAGCTGATTTGTTTGTGATTCCATGTGCTTCAGACAGAGCTTAATTTTTTCATGTTTGTGGAGGAGGGAGTGTTGATGAATTTATTGTACATTTTGCCTACTAGCCCCCAACAATATGTTTGTATGTATCATAAGCATATCTCTCTCAATGCAACCATTATGTAAATGTCCATGTAAAATACATATTGTATGAGCACACGAACACAAATACATTTATCGTATTTAAATATTGACATATAATTGAAATAGTTGTGTAAAGTGCGTTACCCTTAATTTTGAAACCATACATTTTAACTCTGCAGTTTTATAATATGAGTTTACAATATTTTGCACAGCCCTCAACATTAAATTTCATCTTAGTTGTTCAGCTGCCGTAACGTAACTTTAGCACCAGGGATCCATTACTTTTAACAAATTTCAACCCTGAAGTATTTTTTATATTTTATTTTGTACAACTTTTTGCAACCTTCAAACACCCTCAAAATTCAATTTCATCTTACGGGTGCTGTGGTAACGTTAGTACGTTATCCATGCACCCGTAAGATGAAATTTAATTTTGAGGGTTTTTGATGGTTGTACAAGATTGTACAGAATAAAGTACACAATGCCGCAGGGTTGAAATGTATATGGTTTCGAACTTACGGGAGCCATGGTAACGCTTGTAGTTACACATCATACGACTTCGCTGGTAGACTACTAAATAGTCCGAGATAAAAAATTTCAAAGCGTAAAAAGTCAACGGCAAAAGCGTTCGAAACATCAAAAGTTCCGGTACATATATTATAATTGAGTAATCGGAAAAATGCATTGTGATGTTGGAATAATGTTCAAATTAGTATTAATATGTATACTTCTTAATTTAATGATTTATCAGAAAAAATCCACAAATAGTCTGGTAGGTAGGTGCCAATATCGGTAATATTACACTATAGAATTCGATGGAAATTATTCAATAATATCATAAATTACTATAACATATTATTATATCTATTGTTTTTGTATAAATAATTAATTCAATTTTCATATAACATGTTTTTGAAATTAAAATGATTGCACTTTTTTTTTAAAAATAAATTATTTAAAATATTGTTACACAATATTGTTACATAATATATTACATAATATTATACTCATATCCCGTACTTCTTTTTGTAATGCTATTCGACGTTGCTGATGTGCATTGTCGCTCCGCCATTTATTAATAGTAATCGACCACTTTTTTTATTTATTTTGTACCACAATACAATAATATATATATTTTTTCAATACCTACCTAGCGTTTATTAAGGAATAATATTATCATAGTTGCTATGCAGGTACAGCTGCCATAGGGGTTTCAGGATTTTTTGTATTATTCTGATAAAATATGCAATAGGTAGGTAGTAGTGTTAAGTAAGTAGGTACATAAATGTAGTGTGCCAAAAAAAAAAAACTTAGAGGAGGTACCACAAGCAAACTTCCATCCCTCTCCTTTTATAATTACTCCACAATATCCGGTGTACCTAGAGCAGTTGATCACTATATACAATTTATTATGTGTGATAGTGTAGCGTGCGATCTACCGCTGTTCGTAGACGTATTGTGATGAATTTATCAGGGGAGGGGAGGGGCTAAACAATGTTTCAAGTACTCATCAAATATTCTAAAATTGTAACTAAAAAAAATGTATGCCAGGGGCTAAACAAAATTCAGAGGGGGATCACATACGCCCATATAGCACACTCTTCTTTCTAATCTTATGTATGTTATTGATTGTAAGGTTTTATTTGTATATACAATATACCACATGACACATGCCAATTCTTTTTTGATAAGTAATCATTGATAAGGAACCTATTTATTGAATGATTAAACTAATACTTATGTTCTATTGGGAAGACAGATTAACACTGGGAACGCTGTCGACGCCTATCTTACTGATGGTTGGCCGGGTTCCCCCCACTTGGAATCGGGAGATTGAATGTATTTTCCCGACATTTCGCATACGTTTTGCTTTAAATGAAGTGAATTTGAATGTAATTGATAATAATTGTAGAAATTATACTTACCAACGTACCTATACAGTTAGCTATAAAAGCGTATAAAGTTTCGATAGCAAAATTAATTTATTTTAAAAAGTAAAATAACCAAAATAAAACTATATCTATACATCCCGAATTCTAAGGTACAAATTGTTTCCACCAGAGCACGTTTTGTTAATCTGCTTTCCCAATAAGTGGTTTGAAATCGATTCTTAATATTGTTAAAAAACTACTAATGGATATACCTAATTTTAATTTTAGAGATATCTACTCAAAATGCATATTAAAATCGAAAAAATAAGATAAATATTTATAACTTATATCGAAATAGTATTTGTATTGTAATTGTTATAAATAAATCAATTTAAAACAGTAAACAAATTAATTTAATTTAAATTTAAAATTCATCAATCACTAACAGGTGGTTATTCTGCTTATCTTATAATATTATATTATCGTATTCATATTTATTCATATTTATTCAAATATGAATCGAAAATATATTTTTTTAAATCTGATTGAAAATCGAAAAACAATTAAATTTATGTCATGCAATAGTTGAAAATCAATAGATACATTATTTTTAAATTCAGAAATCATAAAAAAATTAATATCGATAAGCGGAAATCAAATTAAAATTAAAAAATTTAATCTTGTAACCAGATTGTTTCATATTTTGAGAGGAGGAATGAATGTATTGACTTTACGATGTTGTGTGCTTTTTTGTTTATGTTTATGTTACCAGAAAAGATGACATGTTACCTCAAAAGATGATGGCTAGTCAATAAAGATAATGCCTGATTTAGTAAGGAATTAACGTCAATAACTAGTACTAGTACAATTCCTAATGAAAGAAGGAATTGATGATAAAATTAAAATCAAATATATATATAATACCTATAATTTAGGATAAACCATATTTTTGTTTTTGAAACAGTTATTGTTTCTTTTGTCACACTCGAGTATTTTAATTTAAGTTCAGACATCTAAAGTCTCGGCCTCCATGACCGATTTCTGTGTGTGTAGAATTAATGATGTCAAACAATACTCTTCATTTTTTATGTTATAAACTAATGATTAATAAAGCTCTGTCGCATCGGTTATGGTTTTAATAAGACTATCTTTACCGCTGATAGAAATAATATCATACTTACGAATATTCCTATGGTAATTTATCGTACACTTGTTTTCCAGTCGTGGATACCGTGATTTTGAATTGTTTCATTTCTGTGATTTGTTCACAATATTCAACATTATCGAAAAAAAGTTATTGTCATTACGTTTATTTTCAATTAATAATAACATTGTGTTATTGTAAAATTTTAAGCTCATTTCATTTAAATCCATTTTTAAACAAAGATTATTAAGCACAAATATTAATACTTCATTTCATTGCACAAACAGTACTGTATCATACGGGAAGAGTCCATAACGATAAATACGATTCCTATGGTAAAATAATATTACATTTGTCAATTATTGACAATTTTATAAGTTATAAGCAGCAAAAACGAATAACAATAACATAAAATCAGGTTTATGTTTGGAAGTTCCACAATCTGACCAATCGCCGATAAAGGTGCTTATATTTGGCTTTATAACATTGCCTAATATAATACGGGAATTTTGATAAAACTAAGAAATATCCGTCATTGACAACAATGACTAAGTAATCACGACAATTACTTAATCATCATCTTTTCCGTAACATATACATTAGTAAATATAATGTTTTGATTTTCAACTTTTAAGGTGGTTTATGAAAAAAAATTGGATATAGTTTGTGTTTTGATGAGAGGTCAAAATATTAAATATTTCAGGTAGTTACCTATTTTTCTAATGCGTCCGGGGGAAAGCGAGAATGCTAACTATTTTTTGGTTAAAAATTTGGTTTTTTAGTGTACCTACCCGACAATTATTTGATTTTTTTCAAAACACATTTTGAAACATGTATTGTGAAGAATTACTTATTAGTTATTAATATATCTTTAGGCAGGTTAACAGACTTACTTCTAAATGTTTCATTTGCTTGGCCAATTGCACAACTTCACGTGTTCCTCTGACGTTCATGATCGTCGCATCCCTTATCGGCTCATCGAAACGGACACTGGCAGCGACGTGGAATATGACCGAAATGTTTTCCACCAAATAACCGTACTCCTCGTCAGACAACCCAAGTCGTAGTTCAGTCATGTCACCCAACACGGGAAACAGTTTTTCCTCCATGAGACCAGGCTTTTGTTCTTTGATAGTGTCGAATAACTAGGAACAAAGTAAAAGTAATTTACACAATCGGATCATTATAATTTACATGTACCTATAGGTAGGTAGGTAATATAATAATATAATCATCCCCACTAAAATAATATAATAATATCGTTCTACTCAATTTTACTTATACGTCATCGTGACCAGTTGCCCCACAAGAGTCAAGACGTGTATAAGAATGCATTTATTGGTTTAAAAAACCAAAATAGATACTATTTTTTTCAATTATAAAAATAAAAATAAAGACTGTGGCGTATCGTTTCTTAACATAATATTTTGTATGTTGTTCATTACATAAAATAATATCACAATAATTAATAAAGTATAATGCAACTATTCCTTGAACATTTTTCGCATTAAACGATATAGTATATAAATTACTATTTTCGTATTTTAATACTTACAAATTACAATACTGTTACAGACCTACTTAGTTTTCTTATCGCTAGCTTAACCATGGAAATAGAATAAAATGTGATATATAGCTTATTTTCGTATTTAATATTTTGAAAAAAAACAGTCGTTTTTAAATTAAATTTTTTTTTACAAATAATATGAATAAAATATTTTATTATTATTACGATAAAATGAATATTACATAAAACAAATTGCAACTATTGCAACAATAAATGTACTCTCAAAATAATTTCAACCAAGAGTTATTACAGCTCAACCATTAATTTAAAAAAAAATATTAAATTATAGTATGATGGATTTATTTCATGCTCACCCCCTCATAGTTATTAAAAATAAATTTTAATACTAGAGAGTATAGAAGTAGACGGCTAAATTTACTAAAAATGAGTTATAATTAATTTAAAATAAGAGTTAATTCCAAGGAAGATATAATATTTATTCTTTTAAAAATATTGTGTGTCACCTAGTTTACGAGCTTAAAATTGCACTGACCTGTTGAGTAATTCGTGAGGCTAGTAATATTTTTTACTTTTTGGCTGTATAGTAAATTTAAGTACTTGTATACAATATAATAATATTATACAAATCATTAATTATATGCACATAACAATCATATAAATATACATTTTAATAATATGAAAACTAAAACATACTTTAGCGTCCAAAATTTCTTTGATTCTAGAAGCCGTGTCTTTTCCTTTTTTCTGTCTCACCAAAATACAAATTTTACCGATATCTGGACAGGACCGAACTAGTTTTTCGATTAAAACTTTGCCCATAAATCCGGTGGCACCTGTTACCAGGACATTACGCCCTCTGAAGAAGTCTTGTATACTCATTATGTTCTGAAAAATTTAAATAATCATTATAACAAGACGTGTATTACAGTCAGACCGTGTAAAATATGACGTAGGTGCAAAGTGTAATCGACTTCTCAAAATTAAAGGGATATTATAATTATACTAGCTGATTCCGTGCACTTCGTTCACCGTTAAATGTCTCAACTCTATATGACTCAAACTTTGTTCATTTAATACTCGGTGTACGGTGTTCAAAATTTATCTTATCTTTTCCGTTGCCTTGATAAAAATTCTGAATCGCAGCAGTACATTATCATTTAGTCAATCTACCTGCAGTAGATCGCGGACCATGAGCTGTTTATACGTAAGTGTATGATTTAACTCTTAAGTATCAAAGTTAAACCAAGTTTGTCGTTTTTTCTTAATTCCACCTACGGTTGTTTAAAATAATCAATTTATTTAATCCCATTAAATATAATTTATATTTAAAAAGTAAAGCAAATATTTTTTTTTTTTTATTATTATTATTATTTTAATAGCTTAAAAACTCATGGAAACCATTTATAAACAAAAATTTCCATCTGAAATCTCAAAATTCCCATTTGAGCACCTCCCGGGGTTGGTCCTCTCCCTTTATAAATTAACCTATAATTTAAGTTGGACCGAAATACACACAGTGTAAAAATTTCATCAAGATCGGTCCAGTAGTTTTTACGTAAAAGAGTAACAAAGTCACAAACTTTCGCGTTTATAATATTAATAGGATTGTTCGTAAATAATATTTAAAGAATTTCCTAATCACATTCATATATTGTAAAAATATTCTAATGGATTGTTAATCGTTGCCATAAAATTCTTATTTATAGTAATTTGTAGATCGAATAGGGGGCAATAATGAATTGCATATCATTATTATAATAAAACTAATGAATACGTGTAACAACAAAATTATTGTTCGATATAGGTAATTTGTGTATCATAATAAAAGCCAATGTTCAATGTTAGGTACATAATATAAAACGCGTCGAAAAGCGATCAATAAATTTATCGGCAGTACACTATGATAACTGATAAACATAATATTTATCAAGCAAATAATATTGAGTACATTTTTACATAATATTCTGTACAGCAATGTAGCTATTAATAATAATAATATTAGAAATCACTCGAATAGATAGTAATTATCTAGGGGGCGTAGGACGACTTGTGATTCTCGGAACACATAAAATATACTTATAATATAAAATATAGGTAACATTAAAATATCAAATAAACAAGTTATAAAAGTATAAACCACGGAAAGGACCTCCAAGGTAGGTGGGCAGTAAATAAACAGATTTACGAAAAATCAATAAAAATAGATGCATTTTGATAAGAAAGGTGTATAATGAATATAATATTATAGGCCAATATATTTATGCATTTAAAATATGCATATAACAAAATTATCATGTTTTTAAAACAACATATAGTATAATATTATAATTACACATATTTTTACTGAAAAATTATATTTTAAACTATTTAGTTGACTATGTTGAACTTAGAATCTTATCAATATTAATAAAAAAAAATAAAAAGTGTAAATAAAAGACATATTGTATTTGTATTTTTCGTAAGAGACTAAGAAAAATATACGAGTGAATCGAATATTTTTCTGAACACATTTTGTGTCATACCAATTTTAAAGTGTTTTATCTGAATAATAAAAATATAACGACTACAATTCAAATAAGACTACTTTATTGCACCTGAGTTCATCCTTTATTCCACTGTACATCACCTGTACGAGTTGGCTTACAGCACATATTAGATTATTTAAAACTACGATACGAATCATTATAATATATTAGATACATTTATCCAAAGGCGTTAATTTAAATTATTTAACTTAACTATACAGTGTCACAGTTAAAAAGTAAATTTGTATTTAACTTTTAACTTATCTCATTAGTTAATTTTCTAATTAACTCAAGAACAGTTAGGATAGTCGTGTTCACAACTTGACTCAAGTTAATTAGAACTAACTAATAACTAAATTATCTTCATTAACCTGTCCACCTTTACACTTTTAATAAATATATAATCTGTATATTCAACTTTAAAACGTTTTTCTACAATTATATATACCTACGGTTTCGTTAGTCGTGTAAGTCATCTAAAAATCCATAATATGTTAAGTCTGTAAGTCTGAACTTATTATTAAACAGTGTATATTATCCATCAATAGAGCTCGTATTTAAATGCCTTAGTAACTGTAAAAAATTCTTTAAATAATAATCAAAAATGCTCTAAAAATTATATATTCGCTTAAAAAATGACAAGGATATTTTTAAAGGAATGCAATTATAACAACTATAACTACAACGATAAGAAAACGAAGTTTTAATTTTCGGTATTAATTACACTTTATCTCAACTAAACTAACAATAATACAAAAACTGAATACCAAACTTAGGCAAGCACAATAAATAAACAATATCGCTGGAGATAGATAAAGACGTTATCACTTTCATATTATTTATAGATCGATTTACAATTATTGGTACGGATGATAAATACTTAAAAACTATTTAATCAAATATTATAAGAAAAAAATATTTTTTGATAGGTACAACATTTTACATTGCCTAATTTACAAAATCTAGTACAATGTATTAATATAATATGCACTAAGACTTAATAAAATGATCTGAAAATGCTATAAAAATGCTCTAGAAACTCAAAAAACATTGAACAATTGAAAATAAAAGCTTAACTTCTGAAGACGTATCAGCTGTTACCTACATGAAACGAATTCATTGCAGTCCTAGTGTACACCCCAAAAAAAATAATATTGCATATTGCCCTGAAATCCGGTCCCTTATGATGGGTTATTAAATTCACGAACACGCTGAGTTCAAACTAGTTGTGAATGTTGTGTAATTTTTATTTTACCATAGTTACAGATTTCAGGACTTAAAAATTAAAATATACTATTTTGTATTTGAAAATGTTTGTACAAAACAATCGCGGATCAAACTACGCGTATTGTCATCACGTGCTTCTTAAAATAATAATATTTATGATAATTGTCAAGCCTTACCTTTTGGCGGAATGAACGACAAACACAATTCGATAAAAAAAAAAAAAACAAAATAAATACACGTATCGTACGGAGTGGCGATTTGTCGACAAATTATAATTCAGCGGACAAGACGTTACCGCCTGAACGCAGTGTAAAAATGGTTATGCGGCTCTGATAGTGAAAATAACGTTCGACGTAACGAAATAATATTTTATATTATTATACGACAACGATCTATTGTGTTAAACACACACAAGGTTTCCTTAATTAAAATTCAAGACACCAAATGTTTTTCCTAATGTGAATCACGTGGACACGACGTCTACAATACCATAATATTATTTTACCTTTCGTTGTGTTGCTAGAAAATATCGCGATGGAAATATTTGATCGGTCGTTTTACGCTGTCATGAATAATTACAGTTAACTACCTGCGATCAACGAGCGAACTGTGTTTGTCGTATTTCATAAAACAATAATAATATGTCGGAGTCCGGTATTTCAATATTCACTATGGTAGGTATTCTATACGACGGTTTCTGAAGTATATAATATTTACTTTTGAAATGATAAATTGTCATGTTAAAATACTCGCAAAATTCCAAATATGATGACATCGATGAGAATGCAAAACGGTCCAAGTCGTTACCCGCGGGGCTTGCAAACGTTATAATAACGCTATGATTATAACGTTATATTTGACAAAAAACTATTGAAATTTGTTATTTGTAAACTTTATTATAAAGGAAAGTGAAAATCGAAAATAATTAAATACCGAAAAACAAAATATATTAATATATCATTAAACAAAATATAACTCAAAACGTAATTTATAGAATATCATTGAACGAAAACGAAATATTTAAAAATATATTTATTTAAAAGGTCTATTGGTTTCGTAGAAACATTTATTTCATGCAAACAATTTAAGAATTGATTATATTATACTCCGTACCCGGGCCATTACCCACCTACAGTGTTGAGCCGAGATAAATATAATTTTGTCTAGATAAAGATAAATTATAATAATGTTATCTATATAAAAATAAAGATAACTAAATTATTTATTTATCTAGATAGAGATGAAAAAAAAATTATTTTGTTTAGATAAATTATGGGATAATTTTATTTTATATTTTTTTATGGCACTCTCCTTAAACTCGTAGCAATATAGAACAACTTAATAGTATGTTATCGAAAATGTCGATAGTTATTAGTAAATACTACCTACTTAATAAATTACTTATTTGTCTACCTATATTCTATAATAAATAAAAGCCGTTTAGTAAATTTAATACCGGGATAAATTTATCTAGATAACAGTGATTTTTATCTTAGATAACTTAATATTTTCTATTTATTTAGATAAGATAAAAAAATAAAATAATTTTCATCTAGATAAGCTCAACACTGCCCACCTTCATTAGTTATTATTTTTAAATTGAATTGAATATAATTAACACTATTTTAAATAACGATAAAAGCAAAACTTGGACAACTTTTTAAACACAATTAATTAACATCTTTAAAGTAACATTTTAATTGTAAATAACATAAAACGGAAATTATTCTTCAAATGCATGCCCTAGTTAGGTACCCGTCGATGATTTACGATGGCTATTCGCACGGGTGCTATAATGACCTACGCCAGGTCATTCTTTTGCCGTATTATTATCACGGACAGTCTTTTAAAAAATACCATTAAAATTATAATTAAATACAGATACAAATACATCCATTCAGAAAGTATTTGAAATACGTCTAAAATAACTTTAAGATATCCCCAAGGTGATCCGTCCACACGCCCACGCCAGAAGCAATCAACTAGAATTTAGGGGCAGAAAGTATGAACTTGAATATGTGGATGAAAACAATTAGAAAAAGATTAAACAATATTCTTTTGTTTGTTTGTAGATACCTTGTTAAATTAATAAACCTAACAGTTATGAACTTAAATAAACTAAATTTG